CCCTCTGCCTTCCTGATTTTCTATACTCTCTACAGTCAGACAGACAAACTCTCTTAAATATACAGTAGATTGGACTATTCAAATAATTATCTCCAGTCAGCAACCCTTATATGCATGATGGATGTACTGATGATAGCCCCACAGATGAAGGTGCATTAGGATTTTCTTTTAATGAAATCCTTGTAATTTTCTAGTTATGTTCTATTTAATATTAAAGAAAACTCATCTGTTTCCCTGTTAAATCCAGACATAATATTTCATGCCATGATTCACTGTTTAGCTATTACAGTATGGGGGGGAAGGGAGGAGGAGTACTTCAATTCACTGTATTTAAAAAAAGAAATCTACCAATTCATGTAATGATCCAACTACAGCCATCCAATTTAAACTCCTGCTCATTATTATAACCGACAGTTTTAGGCAATGACCTAAAATTATACATTTTTTAATTCTTTCATTTCATTAACCCCCTGTCAGCAATTAGCCAGGCTGCTCTCCCTTCCTCTCTACTGGCCATCCTCAACAAGCATTGCAGTCCCCTTATTCCACTAATGAGCCTATACACCAGATTTTTTCCTAAATGTAAACTGTTTCCACTCTTCATCTGCTCTGGTAACAAATGCCAAGTCCTGATTTCCCTTCGTTGTAAAACCTGCACACAATCCCTCAGCTTTTAACAATAATTCCTAGTCTCTCTCCTGTTTTTACTCCACGCACTACATACAAAAGTCACATCTTCCATTTCAGATAGACTTCCCTCACAGTATAGACCTGCACCCACATGTACCCATCTAACCAAAGTGCTCCAGTGCCTACTTGCCAAACCCTCCTGTTTTCCTTCTCATTACTTGGCTCCTTCCCAGGATATGAATTCTTGGACAACATAATCCAATCATATGGTATGACAGAACAAAGCTGGCTTTTTAAAAGGGGATCAAGTTCCAGCTCAGTCTTATTCCAAGTTTACCCAGAACACAGATGTTGTGAGGAACAGTTATTCTCACTGTACTTGGGAACCAAATGCTTAATATCAAAGCAATCTAGGAAGAGAAATAGCATCTTTCATACATAGAGAGAAGGACTTATTGCAGTGCTATGCAAAATACAGCCAGGGGGCTGGATCCAGCCTGCAGATGCAACAGGGAGCCCCAGACAGATTTCCTGCTTGCCTCGTGCCCCTCCCTGATATCCCCACATACCGCTCAGAAAAGCGGCGGTGGCGAACCTGGGGGCGAGGAGAGTGGTGCTTTGTACCCTGCTCCTGCCCCCAACCCAATCTCATTGGCATGAATCACCATGCCCCCTTCCCTGAGGATCTTGTTCACCAATGCACCTGGCCTCTGCAGCCTCTTCAGGGGCAGAGCAAGCAGGGAAGCTGCCTGAGAAACATGCTGGGCTGCTAGCCGGGAGTCACTCAAGTAAGTCTTCTGGCCAGAGCCTGCTTATGGCACCCCAGCCTCTTTCCCCTAACCCACTGCCACCCCACACAGCCCAAACCCTCTGTCCCCCTCCTGAACCCATATCCCTCCCAAAACTTGCATCCCAGTATCCTGATCCAGGTTACAACCACCTCTATCACCCAAACTCCCTCCCAGACCCCAAACCTTCTCCTGCCCTCCAATCCCTTATCCCAAGCTCCCTTCTGCACCCAACCTCCATCCCAGACTGAGTACTTCCTCCATTAATATCATGGAAGAGTGTAAAAAAACAGGACTATGAAGCACTTTAAAGACTAACAAGATGGTTTATTAGGTGGCCCATGAAAGCTCATCACCTAATAAACCATCTTGTTAGTCTTTAAAGTGCTTCATAGTCCTGTTTTTTTACACTCTTCCATGATATTAATGGAGGAAGTACTCAGTCTGGGATGGAGGTTGGGTGCAGAAGGGAGCTTGGGATAAGGGATTGGAGGGCAGGAGAAGGTTCTTGTGATACTTACTCTCTTACTAGAGAATAGGCAGAAGAAGAAAGGGTTCCTGTGGACAACAACCAGGAAAGCTAAAGTGATCTGAAATGGGCAAAGAACTCTGGAAATGAGGGAAGCATTTGGTGGCTCTGAGGAATCTTAGGGAAAGGTATCTTGAACTAGTCATTAAAGGAGCTTTTGCTGTTTGTTGTTATCTAACATGCCTATTTTTCACAATGCAAATATTTGCAATAAAAAAAAGTACTGTACACATCATATTCTACGTGGTAATTGAAATAAAATAATTTCAAAACATAGAAAACATCAGAAATATTTAAATAAATGTTTATATTATTAAAATATGATTAATTATACAATCACAATTACTTTTTTAAAATCATACAATTAATTATTAATTTTTAAATTGCTTGACAAAGCTACAAAATAAAGCATGAAGAAAAGAAAAATCTCCTAGATTCGGGTAATGATCTGTGAGGCAAAATCTGCTATCCCAAACTAATTGATGTTTGTTGTGTGTATGTGGTTTTATTTTATACTGTTTGCTTTATTTATTTGTCATGTTTATTCTGGAATTTGAAATTAAACACGTTTACATTCTATACTGTAGCAGGGCCTAATAGACTTATAGTACCTCAATCATATACTTAAAATACTTAAAACTGAGTCATAGGAAATACTGTCTACAAGTTTAGGTCTAGTAAAATATTTTACACAAACTTTATTTAAATCACATAAGCATTTTAATTATCTAGCTAAAAAATAATATTTTCTTTAGATATGAGCACACACTAAACCAGTGTTTCTCAACCAGTGGTACGAGTACCTTTAGGGGTACTTGAGAGAAGTCTGGGGGGTACATCAACAACTGAAATTTGGAGAAAACTGATTTTTTTAAGTTTTACAGCGCTTTATTATTTTTGTACTTTTTACACCCAAAAATTTCATCACCCGCCTAGCTATGATGATTAAGTTGTTTAAACAAATATGATGCAATGGTAGAAAAATTTGTGTGTGTCTGAAAACTGTAGGTACTGGGGGTACTTATAATTTTTAAGGGGTACCTTATAAAAAAAGGGGTACCTTATAAAAAAAACACTGCACTAAACTATTTGCTGTCTAAACACTTAAAATATTCTGCTACATAAAAATCACAAACTACAAATACTGTCATTGTGGAAAATGAATTAAATGCAAAAACTGAATATAATAAACTTGTGATTTTAAAGTTTATAGTTTTAATAACCTCATGAATTAGTGATAGGTACACTTTTAAAAACAATGTAATTGATTATTATGTTTATTTTGTTACTTTAATAATATATTGATTTCAGAAAAATGTAAGATTTTATTTTAGTTTCTTCTTGGAGATGCAACAGTATCTCTCATTGTAAAGATACAAGATATTCAAAGTACAAAGAGCAGTGTAGCGTGCTTCCATTTGAAACACAGCAGCTACAGTTTCAACACTCTGCCATTTTTACTATTAATGTAGCAGTACATCAAGTACTATTAACAATGTGACATAATATTGTAGATCAGCAGTTTTCAACCACCGGTCTCTGGCCCCCTATGAGGCTTTGAACAGGTTTCAGGGAACCTGCCAAAATAAACCAGAGATCAGGGGCTTGGTGGGGGTCAGGGCAGAAAGCCAAATCCCAAATCCCACTGCCTGGGGATGAAGCCAAAGCCAGAGCAACCTAGCTTCATGGGGCTCTCTGTGGCATGAGGCCCTGAGCAGTTGTGCTACCTAATGCCAGCCCTGGCTTTTAAACAGCTATTTTTCAGAAGATATGACACAGGTGAGTCATGGAATTTTTATAGCATGAGGAGGGGTAGGGCTCAGAAAGAAAAAGGTTGAGAATCTCAGTCTAGATCAGCATCTAATTTATCTCTCTCTCTCTCTCTATATATATATATATATATTTATAAAAATGCAGGAGATGACAGAAGTTCCTGCCAGGTGACAGAATGACATCATCACACTGAACAGTATCATCATGGTCTCTGGCAGATAGGAGAGTGCAGCCCCACAGTAACATCATAATATCAAACAAAATGTTATATAAAATAAGTTTCTGAAGTTAAATACTGCTTTCTGCATGGCATGACCACTACAATAAAGATTTAGAGAGGATCACAGTATACAAATATGGAAAAGGTATCAAATTAAGTCTATGCTTCTGCCAGGAAAGGATACAGCAGTCACTTCTAAGAAGAGACTACAGTGGACCATTAGCACCATTATAGACAAACAGTTCTAAATCTTTACAACCTTATAAAATATTCAATCTACACGACATATGATCTTAGTCCAAAGTACAGCAGAGTCCCCATATCCTGTGAGCCAGAAATTGGGACTGGAGAACAGGGGCCGGATCACTCCAATTGCCCTGTGTTGTTCATTCCCTCAGAAGCAGCAGTAGTCACTGGGGGAAGCTGAGATAGTGAACTAGAAGGACCATTGATCTGATAGACGCAGGGTGGTGCTATTTCAATTTGTCACCATTATTACTGTTGTATCACTAAGAACGGTAGCTTTGGGGGGCCTCAGAGAGAACGCTATCGTGTTTTATCAGCAACCTACAGACCCTTGCTGTAGACTGTAACAGTCCCTGAGAGTAGAACTACACAGGGTAAGGTCTACACCAGTCTGTTAAGTTTGTAAAATCAAATGAGGGGACACCCAGTAGGTGCTGGATTAGGAGCCCTGGATCCCAACGCCAAGGAGGCTGGTCTGAAGTGCCGAGACGGGAACTGTTGAAGCAGGGAACGAAAGAGCAGGCTGTCACCTCGTCTCCTTTAGGTAGTGCACACGCACAGAGAGTGGGAGGAGCAGCCAACAAAAAGCCAGGACGGGAGACGAGACTGCACATTTAACTAGATCAAGGCTTTCGTACCCAGAACGCATGGGGTGGGTGGGTCGCAATGTGGCTTTTCACGTGCCCATGGCCAGCGTGGCAGAGCACCCCCGGGCCGGCTGAGCCCCCGCCTAGCCAAAGTCTGGAAATGCGGGCGAGCTGAATCCCAGCAGCCTCTAGTCGGGAGTGAGCGTGGAGCAAAATGTCTGACTTACCCGCTGAGCCGCCGGCCGCGATCTGGTGAGACGCCTCCTGCAAAAAGCCGCCCATCCTGGACATCGTCCCCTGCGCTGAGAACGCGACAGAGCGGCCGGGGCCGAAGTCTCCGGCGGCTGCCGCAGCTTGGGGGCAGAGGCAGCGGCAGCCCGGGTGCGGGGAAAGAGGCCGAGGCGGTGGGGGTGTGGGAGTGTCGGAGACCAGCCCCTGGCAGCGGGTGGCAGAGGGAAGCGCAAGGGCCCCTCGGCTCTGGGACTGGGCTCGGCGGGAGGAGGAAGAGGCAGAGGGCGTGAGAGCGAAGGCGCCCAGCTGCACGTGCAAGGACCTGCCTGTTGCGTGCGCTCCCTTCACTGTCAGCAACCTTTATACCGGGGGAGGGGCAGGCAGGCTATGGGCCTAGAGCCGCTGTGCTGCCCCAAAGGGCAGGTCGCCTCTTGCTTTGCCCGAGAGGAAGCAAGTTGGGAGGGTGGAAAGGGAGAACCTCTGAGGCAAGAGGCATAGGCAGGAGCCCCAAGAGTGGTAGTAGGAGCATCCTAGTAGTGAGTGGGAGAAAGAACAGAAGGCGCCTAGGCTGCATTCAACCCCTCAAACCTCATCAACTCAGCCAGTACCCCTGCTCTTCCTCCCTATTCCCTGGCCCACCACCACTATGCCCACAATCCCCTTACTGGCCTCAGCAGTACCCTCAGATCCCTGACTCCCTGGCTGCCCCCAGTCTACTAGCACAACACTCTGCTCTCCTAGACCCTCATCTGGCTACCCCATCTCCTTTCTCCTCCAGCTGACTCCTAGAGTTGCCAGTTTTGGTTGGCCATATTTCTGGAGGTTTTGTCACACCACTAATCTTTAATGAAAGATTTATTTTAAATTCCTGGAGACTCCAGGACAATCCTGGAGGTTGGGCAACTCTATTATAACCCTCCCTCCAGCAGTTCCAACATTCTTATTACGCTTCTATAGCTAGCCAATTAGCCCGTCATAAGACGGGATTTTCAAGTCTTCTCTCCTGAGCACTCTTCCTCTCTCTCTCTCTCTCTTCTACTGCCTACCCCCCTCTCTCTCACACACACACGCACACACACACACACACACACACACACACACTCTCTCTCTTTTCCTCTCTCTCTCTCTCTTTTCCTTTCATTGTCTTTGATGTGGGAAAAGCCAAAAAAACCTCAAAGAAAAGCAGTTGGCTATAAAATCTTTGTGGTCTGTAGGCCCAAGAGAGGGAAATGTGGTGTTAATTTTTTCTTATATTAAAATCCATTGATGCCTCCTCTCTCACAAAACTCGAAACATGAGATATATTTTGGGTTTTTTCCCCATTTTTTGTTACTAGTAAAATTTTTCATGAACAGGATATTTATTTCTGAATAATTGGTTTGCTTTCTCTGCTTTTTCCCTTTCTAAACTTCCTGCTGTTGCCATTACTGCTGTGCCAAAGACTGATGTCCTCCTTTACCTGGGCACTTGACTCTGAAATCTTGCTCCTTACTTATCCTCCCAAAATGTGGACTTCCTGTTTTCTTTGTCCTCTGACATCTCTTCTCATCAATTTTGTATATCAATGTACCTAAAAATCTGTCCAGATTGCCCTCTCCAAAACATATGCCTGGCCATACTGGGTCAAAACCATGGTCCATCTAGCCCTGTATACTATCTTTCAACATTGGTCAAGGCCAGATGCTTCAAAGGGAATGAATAGAACAGAATAATTGTCAAGTGATCAGTCTCCCTGTCATCCAGCCCCAACATTACCTCTCTCTTAAATTATCCTCTCCACTTAAATTATCACAATAATTTCCTTCCTTATCCATCTATTACAATTCTCACATTTTTTATTATCCTATACTCCGACTCATGTAATGACAGGAGATTCAGATGTCAGCTGAGGCCTGACTGCTTCATCACTGCATGAAGTGTATTTCCTCCATCCTTAGATACTTTCAATGACTTCCCATTCCTCACTGAAAGTGGAAACCATCCTGTAGGTTTGCAAATCTCCCCATAGACTTTCTTTCCTGTCCCTTGCTGACCCTACATTCACCTAGTTAAGAGCAGGTTAAGACAGACACCTGTGAGTGATGATATAGACCAGGGCTACTCAACTTTGGAAGCCCCAGGGGTCACAATGATACTCACAGCCCATGCCGAGGGTCACAACTTAAGTGTAGTTGCATATACATGCTAATATATATGCAAAAATATGCAAATAGCATCTTTCACACTGACGGGCATGAATACAAAGATTAAGGCAAGACTACACAACATACAGGTGCCATTTAAGACAGTTCTGCTGATATTAATAAAATGCAATACTTACCCGATTTCCATCCACTTGACAGCACTTTTAATAACGAATAATCCGTACCCACATCCCATAGCTCCCTTCTCATGGGCTCTCCCTTCAGGCATCACCGGAACAAAGCCACAAGCTAACCCAAAAGCCAGACAACACCCATTTCCTCCCCGGATGACCCATGAGCCAATTTCATAAATTCCTATGAATCTTCAGAGGGAAGAGGCAGTAGTTTTAGTTTTCTGGAGTTGTCTGTCTAGCCTTCCATCTCCTGCCTTCAGCTAGGTGATTCCAAACCTCTTGTTTTCTGTCCTCTCAGGAATCAGGTCTGGCAGAACTTGCATCTTGTACTTGTTTTAGATATACAGGTTGTATCTTTAGTTAATTATAAATGAAAGTCAGTCACTTCACCATACAAGAGTCTGCGAAATTCAAACTGTGTATATCCAGTCAATTTCTTCAAAAAACAGAACAATACCTAAATGTATGATTATCCTTGCAGACAATATTCTCTTTTGCCACATGGCAATTGAACTGACTATCCACCATGATAGGCTGCAACCCTCTGTCCTTTTTTGGAATCAGAAGTACATAGTCATATACTTGAAGATTTTCTTTTCCAGGAGGGACTTGATATCCTGACATTTCTTACTGAGCCTGTTGATCTCAAAGGCACTCTTGAACAGAGCTGTGAGGGTGAATTTAATGAAAATTCTCTTAACTAAATTCCCTTAGTAGGACGAGGGACCATTAATCCAATGTGACAAAGGACCATCTGAGATAAAAAAGCTTTCTACTTTTCTTCCCTGAGGAACACCCTGCAAATTGGATACTAACTGCCTACTTATTCTTTGCCCTTTAAATAGCTAGAAGTTTTTATTTCTTTGAATTATAGGATTTAGGAGGGGGCCCTTTTGGTTTATCTGAACACGAGTATCCTGAATCCAGTGGTCTAAGTTGGCTGGCGGCCTCTGGTGAAAGGACTAGCTGACAGATAGGGAATGGAGGATGGCTTTTGCCTCCTTCACTTTGAAGCTTTTAACTTCTCCTTAAAAAAGATGCTTTCCATCTTAACAATAGGAACCTTAGCTTCTGCTAAGCCTCTTGAGGACAGCAAATATGTGCAGCCATGTGGGTCTGCATGCTCTTGCATCCTGTTCACCAAAGACAATCTGAAACTTAGTACCAAGTCATCTCCAAGCCAAACCAGGTCATATTTTTAAATTCTGCCTGCTATTTCTGGGTAAATTCAGTGAATTTTTTAGCAGCTTTCCACATTCTGAACTGATACTTAACCTGGTATGACTCAATAGATTGGTGTCAGAAATGGTTGGTACTAATACAGTATTTCATTTAGCTCCTGGGGCATCTGGACTTTAAGGCCTTACAAACCAACTTCTTGTCATAATTATGAGACACACTAATAAAAGGGCTAGAGCACCTTCAGGTGCTTGCTTAGAGACCTGCCAGGCCAATGACTTATGGGGTACAATTTTGGGTGAAGCCAATGGGAGTTTTGCCAACAATTTCAGTAAATCTAGGCTTTCAAAGCATTTAGGTCCTGCCACTGCAGCCTCCTTGGGTACAAGGAGCCAGGCTTTTGGCCTGCAGTGAATATCACCAACACGGAGGAGTGGTTAAAGTCAATGTGATATTTCTTCTCTTTTTAGCATGATTTTAGAAGACAAGTTTAAGAGGAAACTAGATTTTTTAAGAGAAACAGTTACATTAGAAGACAAAGGCACCAAAGCTTAATTGAGTAATTGTGAATAAAAAAGTGTATAATAGTGAACATTGTAGTCACCCAATAGAAAGAAAAGAACTGATGACTGGAGATACTTGGGCTATGTCTACACTGCCCAGTCTTGCGCAAGAACTTGTGCAAGAGCGTGTCCACACTGCCATGTGCTTTTGCGGAAGAGTTGTGCTTTTGTGCAGGAGCATCCATGGCAGTGTGGACGCTGTCTTGTGCAAGAAAGCTCTGATGGCCATTTTAGCCATAGGGCTGTTTTGTGCAAGAAACCCCTGTTGACCGACCACATTGCCTTCTTGCGCAACAGCTCTTTTTTTTATTTGGAGTGATTCTTTGGATGTATAATTTAATAAATATATTTAAAGTAAAAAGTATAATATTTAATAAAAAAATTAGCTGTGTCATATGGTGGGGAGATGAAGACTTTAAATTTTGTGAGGTGCCGTGAAACTGGAAAATGCTTTACAGAATTAATGCCTTCATAGAGTTAAAGAATTAGTAACTAAAGAAAAAAATTCAGAGTTACTAGAAATAAAAATATATTTTGCGTTAGAATTAAAGTGTTTCCACCTGCAAACCACGGATTCCCTGTGTGCCTCTCACACACTGGGGCACTGGAGTTCTGCACTTCCCGCTCCTTCCTCTCCCCCTCCCTCCCAGCACTTTCAGAGCACTGCTGTTCAAGCTCTGGGAGGGGTGGAGGAGGAGCAGGATCGGAGCGCAAATCAGCAGATTCATGGCATTCCAAAAGTGCTGGGAGTGCAGTGGTAGGAGCAGGTAAGTGCAGAGCTGCAGTGCACAAGAGGGACATGGAGGAAGGGGACAGAGTGGGATGTTCACTGACATGGAGGGCCATTCATGCAGCCCACTTACTAATCGTGGTTGCCCATTGCTAGTCTACACTAAAAGTGGCCACAGCACGAGCGCTGAGAGAGATCAGCCCAGGCTCGTATGTAAATCACCTCCACGATGCTCTCAGTGCTATATTCTGGTTCACACTGGCTCTTCACAGTGCTGTAACTTGCTGTGCTTGGAGGTATTTTTTCACACCCCTGAGCCAGAAAATTACAGCACTGTAAAGTGCAATGTAGACTTAGCCTTGGATTTACAAAGGGAACATGAAGAGAAATCAAGTTGGACTATTAAAGTTATCAGAAACCACAATTCATCTAATTTTACCATTTCAGTCTGTTTCTGAGACAAAAAAGCAGGCTCTTTCTAAGCAAAAAAGCAATAATTTTAGACAAGTGACATTTTAAAGAAGATACTTTAGTTGACTGCAAGTAATTATTGTCTGAATTTCTTAGATAAAGAATTTTTCCTCCAGTTGCAGGTCTTTCTGAGAATTTGCCACATCACTCCCAGATGTGTTTTGTTACTTGGAAAATGAGTAGCCAATGCATTATTACTCGGAAGCATAGACCTCAAAACATTTTGTTGTTAGATATTTTCACCAAGCTACAGTACAATTCTGATAAGTTCTTTTGCTGAGCCTCTCTTGTGATAAAGTATTATCAACAAGTTCTGCTGACTGAGAAGATATTCCAGCGCTGTAAGAAAATTTAGCTGTTAATTGCTTACGGCAAAGAATGCAAAACCTGTGATGATCACTGCACAGTGTATGAACATGTAGAGTATTAATTAAATGTAAAAAAAATGAATTGCTATATGTTGAGATTGTAATTGTACCAAAAAAATCAGGAAATTCAAAATTATTGTTCCACAGCAAACACAGCTTGTTCCCCTTGCACATATCAGGAAACAAATAGTAACTTGAATTGTTTAATATATGTATGTAAAAACTATGAGTAATCATTGTGGTGGGAATCTAGAGTAATTCCCCTAAGACAATAAACTCTGAATGTGCTGACCTTCAAGTAATTAAAATCTCAACATTGTTTCATTAACATTTACATTAGTTCCCTTGGTTTTGCTCAGTAAGAACATTGCTTGATAAATACCATAAGATCATC